AGAAATTCTCAAAAATATATCCAATCAAACTCTGAATCTTAGTATTTGCTTAAAAATATAATAGATAATTTTTATATTAATCAATTATCATATATTATTTCTTCTTAGGTGATACCCCTATCGCTCGTTGTTTTTTCAATCCATGTACCAACCTTTTTGCCATTAAGATATTCCCCAATATAAATAATTTATTCTCTATTATTAAACTCACTACTTTCTTCAATCCATTTTCCAATCTTCATCTCATCACCATTATCATCATATGATCCACCACCACTAAAATTGTTTTTATTATTTACATCTATAAGTTTGCATACAAAATATCCCATCTACCAACTTTTTTACTATTATGATAATCACCAATGTAAATAATTTCTTAATTCATTTAAAACTAATCGCTTAATTCAATCCATCTCCCAACTTTAATTCCATTACCTTTTTCGTTATATGATCCACCGCCACTAAAAATTTTTAGTAATATTGAATAATTACATCTCGTTAAATACATCACTCCAATTTCTATATAAAATATCCCATTTGCCAATTTTTACATTATTTTAATATTCACCTTAATACATTGTCTATTTATTAATCCTAAAGTCCTTATACAAATCAATCCATAAGCCTATTTTATAACCATTATAATCATCATATATTCCACCACCACTAAAAAATTTTTTATACAAATTTTATATTTACATCACTGTATTATTAAACAAAGTATTCCATCTACCAATTTTTTGACCATCTCTATATTCACCATCATAGGTAACTTTTGAATTCATAGAATAACCATCGCTTATCTCAATCCATTTTCCAATCTTAATTACATTACCTTCTTTATCATATGATCCACCACCACTAAAAAAATTTCATTTTAATTCAGATTTACATCACCGCATTTTAATCCAGAGTATCCCATCTACCAACTTTCTTACCATTTTGATACACACCTTTGTAAGTTATTTTTTTTTCTGATGAAAAATTTTCTGCTATTTCAATCCATTTCCCAATTTTAGTTCCTTTATCTAATTCATCATATTATCCACCACCACTAAAACTTTGATTGATATTTACATTTATTTAGTTTTTCCGTCAGTAAAATAACTACCCCATTTACCTATTTTTTTACCCTCTTTGTATTGACCTTTATAAGTTATTTCTGAACTAAATTCATATTCATCACTCAAATCAATCCATTTCCCAATCTTTTCCCCATTATCATTATATCTTCCACCACCTCTAAAATATTTTAAATTATTTAATAAAATTATATTACACAACTTCTCCAATCATCTCGAAATCCCATCTACCAACTCTTTTACCGTCTTTATATTCACCATAAATAATGACTTCTTAATACTCATAAAACCTATCAGATAATTCAATCCAACTTCCAATTTTATTTCCTTTACCTAATTCATCATAAGATCCACAATCACTAGAAAATTTGCATATATAATATAATTTTACATTGAAAATTTAATGTATACAAGATTCCATCCGCCGATCTTTTTACCGTTTTTATATTCACCATAATAAATGACTTTCGAATCTGAATAAAATCCATCACTTATTTCAATCCAAGTCCCAATTTTAAGCTCATTACCTAATTCATCATATAATCCACAGCCACTACAATAATTAATTTAATATATCATATTTACATTTATTTATTTTGATAAAAAATATCCCAATTACCTATTTTTTTGCCATTTTTATATACACCTCTATAAGTAACTTGGCAGTTATCTTAAAATTCATCAATTAAATCAATCCATTTACCATTCTTTAGTCCTATTTAATTGTACGATCCCCCACCACTAATTAATTAAGATAATATAACATTTTTTTTTTTTTGTAGAAATAATTCCACATTCCTACTTTTTAATTTTAAACATATGCTCCACTTTCATATACTTAAGCTTTACTACAACTATATATTTAATTTTTACTCCCAATAACTTTTAAATATTTGCTTCCATAAGCCTTCCTTTAATCCATTCTTAAAGTATCCACCAACTTCGATAAGAGCTTCCCCATTCCAGAAAGCTATCCACTTACCCTATTTTTTCTTATTCTGTCCATATTCACCTTACCATCTTAGATATTTTATCTATTCCACATTGTTCAAAATTTCTGGATTTTAGGATATATCCACAAGTAATTCACTATAACTCTAGAAATAATACTTTACTTTCTCAATATGATTCCATCATAATAATAATTCAAAAAATGATCTTGAGTAATTGTAATTTAGATTTTAGTCTTAACAAGTTTCATCCTTTTTTCATCCACCTTGTCAATTTCCAAATCTTAGATACCTTATTGCCATTAGAATTAATCTAAGCAAACCAGCTTATTTTAAGTTTCATTAATCATCTAAACAAAATATTAATTTTATTTCTCTAACTATATTCGAGTATAACATATGAAC